CGGCCCGCAACGCGTGCGCGCCGCGGCCTCTGTGCGTGACGGTGGTGCGGCTGGTGTCCGGGCTGGATTCCTCCCTCCGGCCGCGTCATGGGCCCCTCCTCTCCCGCGAGACGTGTGCCGCTCGACTTTGCAACTTCGCAGTGCGTGTGTTCGTTTTTTTTTTTTTGGCTATGGACCTTTTCTTTTTTTGCGTTGATGAGAAAGGGGTTCCGTGCAAGGTTTGGAAAAGAAAATTCCAGGGAATAAAAATATCAGTTCTCGTATGAATTTGCGAACCAACTTTTTTGGATGATTAAAGGGACTGTGGTATACTTGTCCCACCAGAGTTCAAATCTTGGTGCTCACATTTATTTTTGAATTTATTTTAGAATTTCCGGCGATGCGATCTTATGATGATATGTCGGCTCCGTCTTTCGAAGGTGCTCATAGGGGTAGGGTGGCGTGTGTGCGTTCATAAGGGTGAATGTATGCGCATGTATATGAGCGCTTGTGTGTTAAAAAAAATGTTTTTTTGCTAATTCTTGCTCTCTTTTTCGTTGGCGTGGGCACATGTGTTTCTTTCTTCGTGGCCGTCCAAAGGCATCGCTTCTGAATTGGAATGGCATCTCACCTACATGCTCATCTTGTTCCCAAGGGCTGCGTATATCTGACTCTTATGTGTTGGTTATCAACTACAAATTGCATTTGTCTTGCTCTGGATATGGCGACGTGCCGATACGCCAAGCTAGATGATTTGTGTTTTTTTGGTGTGAGTGTTTGAACCTAAAAAATATATTATTTTACAGTTTACATCAAAGCTGTTGATAATACTGGTTTTGCAAGCAATTTCAAGCGGTGTTCCGCCTTGTTAAGCGTTTCACGTCCTAACTTGGCATCTACACGTCACGCTAGTTAGTTTTTTTTTTTTTTTGCGGTCAGAGCATCTCCAATAGATGGTTCAAAATTTGGCGGTCCAAAACCGAAGATGTAAAATTTGGACCGCCAAAAAATGCGTGGAGCTCCGAAAAAACTCAACTCCAACATATGGTCCAAAAGAGCAACTTCAATAGATGGTCCAAAATGAAAATGAAAATTTCTTAAAACGACAAACTACCAGTCCATTCAACATAGTTTAAACATCAAATTCAACATAGTTTCATACATGAACTTCAACTACTACTTATTCAAACTACTAGATAAACTACTCCTCATCGTCGGAGTTGCGGAACTGCTCCCAGAACTCGTCCTTCTCCACGTCGTCGCACCCCTCCTCCTCCTCCTCCTCCTCCTCCTCCGAGAAGTCTGCCCAGTCCTCCTCGGAAGAGGACTCGATGGGGATCACCGTCGAGGGACCGGCCTCGTCCTCCTTCTTCTTTTGCTCCGCCTCACGCTTCCAGTAGTGCTCCAGCTCGGCCTGGACGTACTCCGGATGCTCCCGAGCAAACCTTGCCATCGCCTCCTCGTCGGTCTCGCCGGCATTGACGACAACCGACGGCTTCTTCGTCGTGATCTCCTTCATCTTGATGCCCTGCGGCACAAGCATCTCCGCTTCCACCCGACTCTCGATCTCTGGGAAGTTGAGGTGCTCCCGAGGCCTCCCGGCACGCCACACCGTCACGTCGTAGGCACGCGCGGCCTCATGGGCGGAGGGGTACGTGCCGACCCACCAACGCCTCCCGGCATCGGAGAACTCCACTCCCCAGTTACCGGAGGGCTTCTGCCTCACGCCGAAGAAGCCCGACTTGCCCTTCGGCGTCTTCTTCGGCGCCATCGAAGAGCGGTGAGAGCGGTGGAGCAGCGACGGCGGCCGGACGGAGCGGTGGCGGACGGAGCCGGGCGGGCGAAGCTGCGGGGCGGTGGCGGATGGAGCCGAGCGGGGTGG